TGGGCACATGGCAGCAGCTGGCAAAATTAAATGCAAGTTCCATCACAGTAAATGACGTTGACATACCGTTTGTTCAGACAGCTACCAACTTGGGAGTTTTGCTTGATAGTAAATTATCGATGAAAGATCATATAAAGATGATATCGATCTCATGCGTCTCCTGTCTCCGAAATTTGTATCGAATTAAACACTGGTTGGACAGATCAACCATAGAAACTTTAGTGCATGCATTTGTTACGTCTCGTTTAGATTACTGCAACAGCTTGTTGTATAAAATACCCGACAAATCAATAGCTATTTTGCAGTCGGTTCAGAATAGAGCTGCAAAGTTGGTTGCCGGTAAATTGAAGTTTGACCACGTTACGCCAATTTTGAATGATCTGCACTGGCTGACAATTGATAAAAGAATAATTTTTAAAATTGGTGTGATTATGTTCAAAGCATTGAATGGAATGTCACCGGATTACATAACTGATAAATTTACCAGAAAAGAATCAACTTCTGGTTTCCATCTTCGATCAGATGATATGAATCTCTTGAGGGTGCCAGTGGCGTTTTTACAGATTGGTTCGCGTGATATTGCAATCGCTGGTCCTACTGTGTGGAACAATCTCCCTGCACCACTAAGAAGGCCTGGGCTTCATCTTCGAGCATTTAAAAAAGATTTAAAGACATTTTTATTTTGTTGAAATTACATTGAATTCTGTACTACTTGATTCTGTACTATTTTGTTTGTCACGTATATAATTGCTTTATTTTTGAGAGCGCCTGTGAGAACATTTAATGGGCGCTCTAGAAGTTATCCTTAATAAATAATAAATAATAAATACATACATACATACATACATACATACATACATACATACATACATACATACATACATACATACATACATACACAAATACATACATACACACATAAATACATACAAACAAACATTCATGAGAATACTTGTTACATACTGTATTGTTTTTCATAGATTCGCACATACGTAAAAGCTTAACTTGCACAGTTTGATTGAATAACAGACACAGACACAGACACACACACACACACACACACACACACACTTTCACACATACACACACTCACACACAACAACAACACAACAGCAATAACAACGACAACACATACACATACACATACGTACAAAAACACAAACAACAACAACAAAAACAATTGTTAACGCTTTAGATTACCAGTCTGAAGAAGAAAAAGGAAACAATTATCATCAACATCAACAAAAGATACTCAATTTCACGGGGAATTTGATCACTGAGGTAATCAAATTCAACGGCAACAACAACAACAACCACGACAACACAACAACCTCAACAACAACCAAAACATCAATCACAACAACAGCAACAACCATACAAACAACAAATCGGCAAAAACCACAAACCTACCAGTATTAACAACAATTACAATGGCAACAACTACAAGAGCAACATCGTTAACAACAATTACAACGACAACAATAAACAAGCACACAAACTCAACAATAGCAACAACACTACAACATACAAACAAGCAAACAGCATACAAACAAAAACATACAAACGACAAGCATAAACATCACGACAACAGCAACATAAAAACAACAACACAGCCATCACAACAAAACAACATAGAAAACAAGACAACGAAACAACAACACAAAGAACAAACAATTAGATACATAGATATCATTAAAGTGATCATATTGAGCTCGATCAGAGGTTAATACGCCAAACGTGATAGTGAACCAAAAATCACAGAAAAAAAAATAAAACAAAGGATATTGAATTGCTAACGATAATGTAATTTATTAATTAGAAAACAAAGAAAATATAAAACAATGGATATAACATTACTAATTGTAGTGCGATGATACTAAATAGTAAGGGCAACAAAACTACTGCTACTACTACTACTGCTGCTGCTACTACTACCACTACTACTACTACTATCATTATTCATAATATTATTATTACTACTACTATTACTAATAATAATGATAATAATACTTTTACTACTACTTCTACTACCACTTCTATTACTACTACTATTACATATGAATATGTATTGTATTCATGAAGATGGTAGAATGAAATCACCAAGGTTATTTATCACCATCGTCGTCATTATCATCATCATCATCGTCGTCGTCACCATTGTCATCTTGCTTATTATTTGTTTGCTGATTTTCAGCTTTATTCATCATTCTTACAGTCATCATTAACACGGATACCATCATCATCACCATATGCATTACACGTTATGATTGCATCATCATCATCATCACCGTGTTATCATCATCATCATTACTGTATCATCATCATCGTCGTCGTCTTCTTCTTCGTCATCATCATCATCAGCGGCAGCACATTACAAACATCATTATCATCCTAATCATAATCAACATCATCATTCACAACAACATGTAATAAAAGTTTGACAAAACTTGAGCAAATGTTACACACACGCAAACACACACACACACGCGCGCGCGCACACACAAACAAACACACCCACATACGTTTATGTAATGTATTGTATTGATTGTAAATTATTTAATATCACATATAAAAATAGCACGCCAAAATATATTTTTGAGTGTACACACAATTCAATCAAACACACATACACACACATACATACATATACATGAATAAATACACATACACACGCACACATATACACGCACACACAACTGGACAAATGTTTCTCACTTACACACACTCCATCCAGCACACACAATGTCAATTTATCATTCAAGCATTCAAATCAATAAACACTTTAAAACCGACTCCATTGAACATCGATGTAATTGTTTTCAAGATATATTCTCAATTAACGTTTCGAAATATGCAAGAGTTAGTATTACAAACACACACCACACACACACACACACACACACACACTTGAAAATATACACATACACACACACCACACCACAT